TCGAGTTGCAACCAGAGTCACGGAACGGATTAAATTCGTAACTCGAGGTACCACTGTACATTGTGATTGAAAAAACTATAGTCAAGCCCTCCACGGTGAGGAAGGTTACAAGTAGGAAAGGAATAGAGGACTGGAGGGCCACCTTCTAGGAATCAGATGAGAGTTCCAGTGGGCTGCCCATCTGAGAGCCAGGTACACCAGGCCTCATGGTATGGGGAAAAAGCAGATCCATTGAGATTATCAGCTTACTGTACTTCCTGTAACTGAGAAAAGATCTCCTTTCCAATAAAAATAATACAGCACCTGTCTAAGCTAGCAATGGGGAACTGGAACTGGCCCCAGTCCCCCTTGGGCATTTACTTGGCGAGGCAAGCACTGGTGCTCATAGTAAGGGAGCAGAAGGCTCTTGGTTTCAACTCATATCTTTCCTAATTTTCTGCCCAAAGGGTTCACTAGGTACACCCTTGCCTGGTCAAACTTTACGGTGGACCACCACAAATTCCGAAAACTGAAAGAGAGGTGCCTTCTTCAACTGTCAACTGACATACTCATTCAAACTTTGTGACTGGCCCTGGATTAGCAGAGGATGGGATCGCTAGAATTACTAGCCCAAAGGGTCTCTGAACCCTGTGATAGTGTCTACAACAATCCATTTCTTAGGAAACTGGAGAACGACCACGGACTTTCATCAGATTGACTGTGCTTCCATGTTGCCCAATGCTGTGGCCCAGCTTCTGAAGTCTTAACCCACCTCCCATACAGGGCTCACCGGTTCTATGTGGGATGTCTCTAGTGCTTTCTTTGCTCTGACTCCTTTGCCTGTTTTCCCTATTTACAGACCCAGTATGCTATCTCAGGGTTTGGCACCATCCCCTACGATTTTTAACTAAATTACAGCTGCTGAAGCGCTGCTCGGAAATGTCTGAGTCCTTGGTGCTGAGCTTGGTTGTTTTCTTGCAGACATTTTATTACCAGGCTGGGTGGCATCATCAGCACGAGGGAGGGCGGGGCTTGCTGGCTGTTTATATAGGGCAGCTTGCCCTGCCAGCCTTGGTTGCTTTGCGACTTCCTTCTTGATGTTTCTCGATTAGGGTATTGCTTCTTCTCTGCTTATCTGGGGCTGTTTCCTGCTGGAGGAGTATGTTCCAGGCTGTTCACTTCCCTCTTAGACTTCTGACTGTATCTTTTAAATGGGATGTAAATGGGGCTTATCTCTATGGGTGTCTACCGACGGCTGATTTGTCTGAATGCCAAGCTGCCAAGAACTCCCTCGTATATTTGCCATGATCTGAAATGTTAACAGTTTCCCACTTGAAACTGGTCGAGTCTGTCAATGTGTTGCGAGATTAAGGTTATCCTTTGTATCCTATTTTTTTCTTTTTTGCTCTCGTTGGAATCAGACAGGGAAGATTTCTTGGAAGACTCTGAGCTCTTAATTGGTGATTTCCTCTGGCAAAACAGAGGATCCTCTGAACATAGCAGAGAATTCAACGGATAACTCACAGAAACAAGGGAGCTGTCAGACTAGGTTTGGAGGAAAACAAGGGGACTACAATGCCTTTGGAATCTGGGCCCTTCACGTTTGCTCACACAGGGTGGCTTGCAAGTAAGAAAGATGGTTGCAATGATTGTTTAGTGAATGTCTGGCAATACAAGCATTTACTGTGTGTCCTTCAGCAAGGCAAAAGGTTTTAGCCATCCTAGGGGAAAGTTTTCTTCTGTAACACCGGTCACTTCAGCCCGTCCCACTTGGTCCAGCAGAAGGGGCAGGTTGCAGACCCCACCGGCCAGGGAATTTCGATGGGTGGGGTCTAGGCAGAGGGCCTCTTCTGCTGTAGCGCCCGCCCTATGGAACATCCTGCCTCCTGAGGTCCGGTGTGCCCCCTCCCTCGTTGCCTTCAGGAAAGGGGTGAAATCCTGGCTTTGCCAGAGGGCTTGGGGGCAAGAGGGGGGCCGGCACCTGTGGAGATGGCTGGTGCGATGATGGGTTGCCCCCCCCCCAGCATCTTACAGGTTTTTATAGGGC